ACACAGTTATTGAATTAAAGCAGTGAGGAACACTGAAACCGAGCGGGGTCATCATAATCGGCTCATCGCTTCTCCCCGATGGGTTGTTGCTGGGAAAATGATCGTTTTTACAAACATTTCCTGTGGCGCAAGATATAAGGCGCTTGCTACGCACAGAGAGGTTGAGGAACAAATGAATGTTCATCAAAAGGCCTGACCAGATTTTCTTTTTCGTCAGTCTCACCATCACTTACGTTATGAAAAGTCACAGGAGAACTGAATATCTGTTATTTGTCTTTCATTTTAGACTACCGTGCAATGGAAGTGAACTCTTTTCTTGTCAGTCTACAGTGCATGAGGGAGCTGTTGCCAGGTTGACTAGAGACAGTGCTGCCAAAAGCTTGTAGCATGAAGCAGAACCTCGGGGAGGGAGTAGTCGCTGTGAAATCATAAACATCTCCCACTTCCTCCGTCAGCTCTAAAAATACCTCGCCTCTTCGTTTCATGGCCCCCCTCCTCGTCTCTATCAGCTATGCAAATATCAGCCCTTCCAACCAACTTTGTTTTCCTCACACCACCCCTTTGGTTTTTTATTTTGCTTGCTTTCTCTCTCTGACGGAGCACACGCTTAGCCTGTTGCTTCTAGAGAGAGCGTGTCTGAACTCAAAACATGGAGCGATGTCTGAAAAAGCCACTTTGTGCAAGTTGTTGTCATGTCAAAGACGGCTATTTTAGGGGCAGTCTGTTGTTTTTCCATCTGATAGAAAAATATCAGAAAAGAGTGATATTTGAAAGAGAGCTGACCTGCCTTTTAGGACAAAAAGACTGTTTACAGAGTCAAAACATCTTTAAATACAGTAACATTCAGGTTCTATAATACATAAATTATCGTGATCCAACATAAAATCAAAACTGACTGTTAAAATTTGTTTTTATGCATGTTCCTGGTCTTACTGCACACAGTTAAATGATATTTAGATTTTTAAAAGATGTGTGTCTCTGTGTGTGTGTGTGTGTGTGGATAGGACAATATTCGGCAGAGAAAATCTGGAATCTGAGGATGCAAAAAAATCTAAATATTAAGAAAATTGCCTTAAAGTTGTCCAAATGAAGTCCTTAGCAATGCATATAACTAATCAAAATTAAGTTTTGATATATTTACAGTAGGAAATTTACAAAATATCTTAATTGAACATGATCTTTACTTAATATCCTAATGATTTTTGGCATAAAACAAAAATGTATAATTTTGACCATTACAATCTATTGTTGGCTATTGCTACAAATATGCGACTTATGACTGGTTTTGTGGTCCATGGTCATATATCAATAATTGATTGATTGATTGATTGATTTTGAATAAAAAGTCTTGTAATCCTTTTAACTAAATTTAATAAAATGCTCCACTGCTCCAAGTGACTTTCCATTTGAACTGACATCAAGTTTCTTCTGATCACTAAAGCTGCATCTTTTATTATTATTATTATTATTATTAAAAATGCAGCAAAAACAGTAAATTTGTGAAATATTATTACAATTTAAAATAGCTATTTTCTATTTGAATATATTTTAAAATGTAATTTATTCCTGTGATGCAAAGCTGAATTTTCAGCATCATTACTCCAGTCTTCAGTGTCACATGATCTTCAGAAATCTTTTGGATTTGCTGCTCAAGAAACATTTTTTATTATTATCAGTGTTTAAAAGTGCTGCTTAATGTTTTTGTGGACCCATGACCATTTTATGGATAGAAAGTTAGAACAGCATTTATTTGAAATCGAAATCTTTTGCAACATTATAAATGGATTTACCTTCATTTTTGATCAATTTAATGCATCCTTGCAGAATAAAAGTATCAAAATTGTTCACATCCAATTTTCACAATCCAATCAATTCCCAATGGACAAAAAGTCCCACCTTTCCATCCGTTCTCATTAAACAGCCTGTTTCGCTCAGAAATGCACCAAGTTACCGAATTAAAATCAGTTGTGCGCCCATCTCATTTTGACTCCCCGTGCCAAAAAATCACTACAAGTCTAAAATCTTCCCGCACTTCATTCGTTCAATCGATCAGATTAGAAAAATCCAATTGCTGATGCATGACCGTTGTACCCGAGATGCTATTTCCCCGATTGGATTCAGCCACGGATAGCTGAACGCATCCATTCACGTCCATGTCACTGGAAACAGTGATTCTTATGACAGCGTTCATAAATCCGCATGGCCTCTCGTCTGGGCCCTAATTAAAGTGGCCCTGCCGCTGGTGTTGCCGGCACGCTGTGCATTATCCTGACTCCTAATGAACAATCTGCTCCTTGATTTTCTGTGATTGATTCTCACCTTTTCATTCGAGCGGCTCACCTCATTATCCATGTATTCTCTAGAACCCTCGGCCGTCGCCACCTCTCAGATTATGCGTCCCGGCCACTGTAATTAGACAGGAACATAATAGAGAGTATTCTTCATCAATGGCCCACCCTAGGTTTAATCAGCTGGCCACAATGGGATATTACCTGCACCCTTCTGATCCGCTCGCGACTGTCGGCGGCTGTCACTTTAGATTTGGAAAAGGAGGGCTGTTTGGCTGATGAACAGAGAGCACTTTTGGCCTCTCGCTGGCTGGACGTGTTAATTCCCAGCCTGCCAGTTGAGAGATTGGGCTCCCATGATGAGCTGAAGCCCATTTATGCCTCTTATTTATTTATTTAGTAGCTGATTTCGTAATCTAGTGTGCCCTTAATTGGGTCTTTTTCTGCTTGCTTTCTGCCAAAGAAGTACCTGGCTGAAAGGAACTGTAGAACAGCAGCGTACGGTCTTTTGCAGTGCATGCCGAGGCAAATTAATGTGGTATGTGAGAAAATGGACAGATTACTACTTTCCACATGGGAAACACCTGAAAGAAAGCAGAACGTGAATGGAGTAAGTCGTGAGTAATGAGATTGAAATCGAAATTGGAGTTTTGCGGTTTTGTAGTCCTTGTCTATTAGGTTTAAGGTCAGCTGACATCTAAACCTTTAGGAGATATATGCAATATAAAAAAAATGTGCCTGACAGACAGATGAAGCCCTAAGCGTATTAAACACAAAGCGGGCACCTTGCATACTGTGTACAGTGACTAAAAGTATTGATGACTACATCATATGCAAATTGTTGTTGAATAAAAAGCGAATGTCATTATAAAATAGAATGAGAGCAGTGTGCCCTTAATTGGGTCTTTTTCTGCTTGCTTTCTGCCAAAGAAGTACCTGGCTGAAAGGAACTGTAGAACAGCAGCGTACGGTCTTTTGCAGTGCACGCCGAGGCAAATCAATGTGGTATGTGAGAAAATGGACAGATTACTACTTTCCACATGGGAAACACCTGAAAGAAAGCAGAACGTGAATGGAGTTAGTCGTGAGTAATGAGATTGAAATCGAAATTGGAGTTTTGCAGTTTTGTAGTCCTTGTCTATTAGGTTTAAGGTCAGCTGACATCTAAACCTTTAGGAGATATATGCAATATAAAAAAAATGTGCCTGACAGACAGATGAAGCCCTAAGCGTATTAAACACAAAGCGGGCACCTTGCATACTGTGTACAGTGACTAAAAGTATTGATGACTACATCATATGCAAATTGTTGTTGAATAAAAAGCGAATGTCATTATAAAATAGAATGAGATCAGAATGAGAATGTCTCTCCCCTAGCACCACCTGCCACTGAAAAGCAATAACAAGTACAAACTATAGACTATATTTGGAACTGAATACCAGCTTACTGCTACCTGAATACTCTGCAGCATATACTGTTTATGGCCTACTATTATTTGAATAATACAATGTGAAACAGAATTCATTATGAACTTAATAATAACAGTAGTTTGAACATCACACTGCATGTTTTAATAAGTGGTGTCCAATCATCTTGGAAATTAAATTACATTTAATTAAAAAACTTAATATAGAATATATTAATAGAATTATATTATTATTAGTGATAATAATATTAATATACAAATTAATAACAACAATAATCATTATTATTTTTTTATAATCTAATTTATTATTTTTACATTTTTTATTGAAATTGTATTATTTTTATCATCATTAATGTATTATAATTATTCATTTATATTAAAATTATTACATGAATATTGATTTTGACAATAATGACGAGTAATAATAAAAATGACTAATTATTGTAATAATTTAACATAATTATTTAATTTTGATAAATAATTAAAAAAACTATTATATATATATATATATAAATTAAATAATGAACTATATATTCGAACTCGGGACACTCGAGGCATTATGGTGCTATATGTCAATGCGCTGCCCACGAGGCTAATGGCACTGATTTTACATTCAATTTTAAATAAAGATATTTTGCCTTTTAAATATAATTTTGTGATTACTGGAAAGTCAGATTGAGTGCATTGCATTGTGTGACATATATTCTCTGCAGTAATCTCTGTTGGCAACACATTTTGGCAAATATAGCAGATAATCCTTGTATTCTATAATATGCAAAGATAAGCATTCTATTGAAATGGTAAGAATAGCACTTTAATATGCTTTCAGAATATATATCGAACATTGTTTTGGTGATGATGCATTCAGTAAATAGTTAGTTATTGAATATATATAATAAAAATTACAAATTTATCCATCAAAGTATTTTACATTCCTAAAAAGTAAGGTTATTTATTGGCACCTATGGTTCCATAAAGAACATGCATGGAACTTTTCCATTGCACAAAAGGTTCTTTATAGGTTTTTGAGATTATTAAAATGTTCTTCACACTAAAAAACAAAAAGGTTATTTTAAGAACAGTTCACTGAAAGGCTCTTTATGGACCCCAAAATGGTTTTCTGTGGTTTTGCTGAAAACCCCCTTATGGAACCTTTATTTTTAAGAGTGCATTGAATTGCAGGTCAGCTCTGTTGTGTCTACATGCATCTACAGTGGTGTTGTTGTGAATGCTGAAGACATTGTTTGAACCTCTTTGTCTTTCTGACCGTGTCTCTTTCATCCCAGGCTTAAGTGCGCACTCGTTCGGCAGAGATGGGCTGCGGGTTGAGGAAGTTCCGTCAGACGGAAGACAACAGTCCGGGAAAGATTTACTCCACCCTCAAGAGACCGCAGGTGGAGAGCAAGATCGGGGTCGCCTACACGTACCACCACGTGGACTTCCTGGTGGGGAAAGACGGTAAGCTGTCAGTCGTTCTGCTATCTCTGGTGAATTCACTCTGATATCGAGTGACTTTTAAAAGAGACGATCAGCAGAGTTAGAAATGTTGAGGTAAGGATAATCTTCGAGGAACTTTTGAAAGGAGAAATCAAACCGTGGCACATGGAGATTCTCCAACAACGTTCCTTGATTCTTTGCTGCTCCGCAAATCCCCGAAGTGATGACACTTGCAAATGACAAACCCCAAATCCTCCCAGAATTCTCTCTGTGAATCACAGCAGCCTGGTAATTCTGCAGCAGCACACGCTCCACCACAGACTGTACCTGGCTCTCTGGCAGTCGACGTGTTCCTGTGAGGAGGCTCTCAGGTGCGCGGTGAGGTGTCTGTGATCCGTGAGGTGGCTGCCGGTGAGATGTTGGAGCCTGCAGGCTGTGAGGTGGCTAATGGGGGAAGATCCAGAGGGCCTTGGCTAAATATAGCTGTCAGTGTTGTTATTTCTCACAAGCGGAGCTCGGCTTGGGCTGGGAGGGAGGGTGTTGAGATGTAGTGTGAGCCAGAAGTCTCGCTGACATCTTACCCCACAGATCAGAATAATCCTGTAAGGAAGATTCAGATGAATGCCGAGGTCAATCTCTGTCTGTGTGGCCGTAAACCCACATAAATACTGTTTTTCCTCCTTCCTTCTCTTGAGAAATTCCTAGTTTCGCTTCATCTATCACTAAACAAACAGGGTTGGTGTTATTTGCTCCACTGTGATGGCATCTTAGCCACATTCATCTATCTATCTATCTATCTATCTATCTATCTATCTATCTATCTATCTATCTATCTATCTATCTATCTATCTATCTATCTAGATTGATATAAACCCTCAAACTTCAATGGTTTTTAAACTTTTTTTCTATCTATCCCATTCATCCATCCATCCATTGTTCTATGTATCCTATGTTCTATGTTCTTTTATCTATCTATCTATCTATCTATCTATTGATCGATGGATGGATATCTATCTATCTGTCTATCTAGATTGATATAAACCCTCAAATTTCAATGGTTTTTAAACTTTTTT